ATACAAAAATAATAATAATAATACATTTTGTTGTTCCATCTGGAACATATTCCCGGGAGAACACACCTAAATAATATTTTGGAAATCTAGTCTTAAAGTTAAAATGTCCCTGCACAGTGTGGAGAAAACAGATCCCCTTTATTGGTGCTAAATGTAACTACTTTACAATTTAAGTGATTGGTAATTTACAAAGTTTGACAATTGGACGCTGAAAAGTTGAGTGCTGAGTCCTTACCGTTGCCATTCTCACGTAGCCGTCCGCGCCAGTGTGTAGCTCGATGATCCGCGCCATCATCCATTTCGCTGGTGGTAGGTTATCTTCGATGATGATCACGAGGTCGCCACAGTTGACATCTTCATTTGGCTTGTACCATTTCTTTCTGGGGTGTTGGGTGTGCAGGTATTCTTCATAAAATCGCTTCCAAAAGGTTTGTAACCCCTTTTGTATGGCTTGAAACCGGTCGAGTGAATTATCTTTCAACGATAGTAGGCTCGGCTCCGGAATTAAATTGAGAGGAGCGCCAATTAACAAATGACCGGGCGTGAGAGGTTCCAAATCATTTATGTCTGTCGTTATAGCACTCAGAGGCCGTGAGTTTAGACAGGCTTCAATTTGAGTTAGAAGCGTCGTCATTTCTTCAAAGGTTAAATTAGTAGCGGTCGTCATTCGGCGTAAATGATGCTTAGTTAGCTTGACAAACGATTCCCATTGTCCACCCCAGTTCGGTGCGCTTGGAGGATTAAAATGAAATCGAATGCCGTCAGAAGCGAATAGTTGAGCGATATCTTTTGATGTTGTGGCCTTGGCGTCCAAAAAGAGACGAGGCAACTCATTGTTTGCGCCTTGAAAATTCGTGCCTCTATCGCAATAAACCTCAGAAATCATTCCACGGCGAGCCATCATTCGACGAATGGCTAAGATGAATTTTTGTGTGCTTAAATCTCCGACAAGCTCCAAATGGGCTGCCTTTGAAGCCATGCAAACGAAGACACAAATGTAACCTTTTTCGGTTATTGCATTGCGTTTATTTGAGCTCTTTATTTGAATTGGCCCAGCGAAATCGAGCCCACAATGTAAGAATGCGCGAGACGGAGCTGTTTTGATAGCTGGCAATGGTGCCATTAATTGATTCATGGCTCTGGGTTTTTGTCGAAAACATACAACGCATTTGTGGACAAACGATTTTACAAGATTTCGACCGTTCAAAATCCAAAATTCTTGGCGAGCTCGGGCCAATGTTAGATGAATAGTGCCGTGCAATGTTGTTGCATGAGCTCGATTGATCACTAACCGCGTAAAATGACTATTCGCCGGCAAAATCATTGGGTGTCTTTGTCTTTCCGGTAGCTGAGCATACCGTAATCGACCGTTGACAATCAATATTCCGCTTTCGTCAAGTTGTGGATTAAGTGAACGTAGTGAACTCTTTTCATCGACGATTCCATTTTTTCGTAAATCGTGAATTTCCTTGCCAAAGTGCAATGCTTGAATGTATTTAACCCACTCGAGTTTGGCTTCATTTAATTCATCAGGCGTTACATATTCGGGCAAAGATGAAACATCTTCCTTTCTGTGACGTCTTGCACATCGAAACAGGCGTGTAGTGACGCGAAGCAACCGAAGAAGGCTTGAGAATCGTAGCAAGAAGTTCATTTCGCACGGACTTGATGTAACAGTAGCAACATTGATTCGAGTGCGTTTTTCTTCCAAATTTATCTCTGATGGCAATGACAAATTGATTTTTGGCCACTGAGTTTCATCCAAAGTGAGCCAATTTGGGCCTGAAAACCATAGCGAATTGTTCAATAATTGGCGTGCAGAAACACCGCGCGAGGCGAGATCAGCGGGATTCTCGTGAGTACGCACATGTTTCCAATGGTTTGCGGGAAACAGTTTTTGGATTTCATGAACGCGATGTGCAACGTAAACTTGGAAGCGGGATGGATGATTCTGAATCCAATGCCAAACCGCTGACGAATCTGTCCATAAATGCACATGTTCTTTTTGTATCTGCAAATTTTCTTGAATTCGTGACATTAGATTTGCAAGCAAAACTGCCCCACACAGTTCCAGACGAGGAGTGCATACCGGCTCGATTGGAGCGACTCTTGTTTTTGCACATACGAGAGACGATGTTGTTTTATCGTTGGAAGTTTGCACAACGTAAACATTCGCAGCAAATGCATCATTTGAAGCGTCACAAAACCCATGAATTTTCACTTGAGAATTTTGTTCAATTTTAAACCAACGATCGATTTTTAGCTGTTTGATCAAGGGCAATTCTTCTTTATATTGATTCCATTCAGCTTGAATTGCAGCACTCACAAGATCGTCCCAAGCAATCTTTTCTTTGAAGGTTTGTTGCATCAAAATTTTTGCCTTGATTGTAAGTGGAGCTAACAATCCGCACGGATCGTAGAGTTTTGAAGCATCTGATACCAATTTTCGCTTTGTAACTCGGGGATCAGATGACAAACGTGACATATCGATTGTGAAGTTCAATAAGTCAGATGCAGGTGTCCATTTCATGCCAAGCGTTTTAACGGTTTCGCTTGTTTTCAGTGTTAATGATGAGCTGATTGCTCGGTCTTCAGCTGGAATGCCTTCTAGCGCTGATTCATTGTTTGATGCCCATTTGCGAAGGTGCATGTGGCCGGATTTGAACAACCCATTTAATTCACGTTGTAATTCAATTGCTGATTTGACTGAGTGACTGCCGCTCATACAATCATCGACATACAAACACGTTTTTACACATTCAGCGGCTCTTGGAAAATTATCTTTTTCACAATCAGCGAGATAAAAGGTTGCATTGATTGCCAAGAACGGAGCGGATTTGCTACCAAACATTACGCAGTTTATTTCATAGGTTTGGATTGGTTCTTCTTTCGAAAATCTCCAAAGAATCTTTTGGTATTTTCGATCTTCCGGGGCGAGCGAGACTTGACGATACATTTTTTCCACGTCGGCAACCAAGGCAATTTCATTTGTACGCCAACGAATGAACGTATCGAAAAGTTCTGGCTGTATGGTCGGGCCATTCAGACAACGATCGTTTAAGGAAAACCCGTTTGAAGTTTTCGCTGAAGCGTCGTAGACAGTACGCTGTTTCGTTGTGGTGCTTTCTTCTCGAGTTACGGCGTGATGTGGTACGTAGTAACCAACATTATGTGGCGATCTGCTTAAGCTCATGTGATTGCATGCAAGATAGTTCAACATATCGGCCTTATATCGTTCGTAGTAAGTTGGATCTTTTTCAAATTTTCTTTCCAAGTTAAAAAATCTACGTAATGCCATTTTTCGGGAGTCGCCGAGAAGATTCTCATCATTTCGATCCATGTTAAATGGCAGAGATACTTGGATTTGGCCGCTTGGCAATCGAACCGTCGTTTCTTTGCACAATGTTACACATTTCTCATGTTCCTCAGTCATGATTGGCTTCAAATTCACTTCTTCACTCTCCCAGAAGCGTTTCAATGCCACATTTAAATCTTCATTTTCGTCGTTGTTGTTTGTGTTTGCCAAGCGAGTTGTATGAATGCGAACGCTGTATTCTTTTGCTTTGCATGCAGCACCGAATACAAGCCAGCCAAACGACGAATTTTGTGCTACTGGTTCATGCAATTTGCCCTTTTTCAAACCATTTTCAACAATAATGCCGTAAATGTCCACACCAAACAGAATGTCAACTGCATTTGCCTGCATAAATTCAGGATCTGCTAGTTGTAAACCGTTCAAATGTTTCCATTCGTTGTGCTTTTCAAATTGTGGGCCGACTGACATGATCGAGCGCATTATCAGTGCTTCCATTGATATGACGAAGTCACTATTTACCGCAGATTGCACTTGAATTCGTATTGATTTTGTCGCTTTTCCGAGTGGCTTATCATCAATTCCGAGCAATGGCACATTTGTTTTTTTTCGAGGAAGACTCAGTACTTGAACAGCTTTTTCGGACACAACAATTCCCTGTGACCCTTGATCGATCAACGCGCGGAATAAATGATAAATTCCGAATTTGTCTTGCACTTTCACAATGGCTGTTGCCAATAGTTTTTGATTGGGCATCGACAGATCATTCACAGCGCTTACGCGTTGGCTTGTTGTTGCGACATCTTCGTGTAGTTTTGTGCTGTGAAGACCATTGCATTTTTTGCAACGAAACTTGGATTTACACTGGTTAACTTCATGTTTTTTCATGCACACGGCGCAAAGTCTTTTTTCTATGACGAATTGTTTTCTTTGGGTGACAGTCCATGCGTTGAACGTGTCACAGAACAGCACGTAATGCTCGCCCTTGCAGACTTCACACACATCTTTCTTTTTGCCAATCATTGTGGAATGTATTTTCTGTGTTGTGGGTTGGGAGCTACAAGGCAATCCTGCCGGCGTTTTCATTATTCGATGTTGCGTTTCAAGGAAATCAAGCATAGTAACATATGTTGGAATTTCTTTCGAACCTCCCAATTTCTTTTCCCAATCAATTGCTGTTTCTTTATCTAACTTAGTTTGCAAGATGTACACGATAAACGGATCCCACTCCTCAATGCTCACGTCGAGTGATTCAATGCATTGTAAAGATGTTTTCGTTGTGTCGATCAATTTACGAATGCTGCTCGCATTACGATGTTGAATTTGCTCTTGAAAAACGAATGATTTCAAGCAATCGTTCACAATTGCACGCGTATTATGGTACTGTTCTAACAGCATTTTCCATGCGATGTCATAATTTGCCTCAGAAGCTGGGAGTTTGCAAATTGCTTGAAACGCTTCCCCCTTTAGACTATCGCGCAAGTAATGCATTTTGCTTATTTTTGGTATATTCGGGTTTTGATCGACTAAAGAAGAGAAAGTGTCGTAGAATGTGGTCCATTCCAAATCTTTGCCATCGAATTTCGGAATGGAAATTGTGGGTAATTTTATTTCTGGGACGCTATGATTACCGCGGCCGGCTAACGTTGAACTCAATGACATTATTTCATTTTGCGAGTGATCTTTGATTATTGATTTTATCATTGAAACAGTATTTATGTACGCTTCTGTTATCACCTCATTGTCTACCTCAAAATGATTCAAGTCAAATTCATCTTCTTCTTCCAGTTTTTCCCATAATTCTTTGTATTTTTCGAATGAACTATCCAGTTGAGTTAACCGTGTAGCGGCTGCCGTGGGGGTGACACCGCCTTTTATTTTCGTTTCATGAGTCAAGATGGCACGGACAAGATTGTCGCGTTTTTGCAATAGTTTTTCATATGGTTTTGTTAGATCAGTCATTTTCGGGCGTTAAAGGAATGTTACCTTTTGCCAATTCGTGAAAGAAAATTCAAGTTTTCAAGCGATATGCAGTTTAGTTAGTTAAATCAATCTTATGCGTTGGTGTTCGGTCAAGAATTTTCATGCGATGCGATGGTTTTGATGCTAAAAAGTGATGCGAGTTGCCCAAATTGCTGTAAAGAGTGAAATGAATGAAGCCAAAAAATGCGATGATTTTGAAGTGCTAAATTGCTAATTTATTGCGATTTTGCTCGTGGAACAAAAGTGATGCGATGGTTTTGCGATTTGTTTGCTAATAATGCGAAAAAGTGCTACAAGATACTCTCAATTTACTTGCTAACATAATTTCATTCTATGAAATTCATGCGGTTTTTGTTTTACGCCAAAATGTATGCAATTTGAACGTGATAAATGAATGTAATGCTAGTGGATGCTGTGTATATGCGATCTGCGATGACTTTTAAATCGAGTGCTAATTAAGTGCGAAAATCTATGCTAATATGCGATGCAAACTCTGTGTTGCGATAAAAATGAGATGAAAAAAAATGCGATTCAAACTCATTCAAAATTCATTGCGATGCTAAATATGCGATAATTTCCTTTTTCAATGCCTTCATTCATTTGTCCTCTACAATGCTAATTTAAATCATTCAAATCAATTCAATTCGTGCTATGCGATGCGATGCGTTACGTTTATAATGCGTGTAAAAAGTGAATTAAATGAATACAATGCATGAGAAATGAAATGAGGAAAGAATTTACAATGATTTCATATTTGTGCAAAGGAGAGAGTAAAAGGGATTACATTTGTGATAACAGATTGCGGGTAATCCTCTTTAATGCATTCTTTGAATAGCGTTTTGAGTTTTCCACCGCAACTGCAATGAACATGCCGTCTGGAACGACCTTTGAGCGCAATTCCAGTGTACGTAGCTCTGGTTGCGTGACGTTATCAACTTCGTCTGTTGAAGTTGTGTTTGTGCAATGTTCGTTGGTGATTTCCACGCGCAAGTTGCTGAATTTGTGTTGTGTTAGTGTTGGTGCGGTTGCGGTTGCTGTTGTCTTGGTGAGTGGATCGATGCGTTGATGTGTGCGAGATAGTGGCTCAGTCGATGATTGAACGTTTATGTTTGTGCGTTCTGTTTTGGCTGTGTGCGCGCGGCGCTGAGAGGCGAACGGATTAATGTGTTCGTGCGAACGAGAGAGTGTGCGTGAATCGTTTTGTTTTTGCGGCTGTGAACGTTTTTCGAATGGGTTGGTGTGGTGAGTGGATGAGAGAGCGAGAGAGTTTTGTTTTTTGTGATGCTGAGCGAATGGATTCGTGTGATGATGAGCACGAGAGAGTGGACGAGAATTTGCGTTTGCGTGCGTGTGCGTGTGATTTTTTGCGAGTGCGCGGTCACTCAAACTTGTGCAAATCGGTTGATTTGTGTGCGTTTCGCTGACGTCAGTGTTTTCTTCTTTCTCTCTTTCTTTGTTCGCGTGACGATGTTTTTGTGTGTGCGTTTCGTCCGCTTCTTTCGGTGACGTGGCAAAACGTTGTTGGCCTGTGTTTGTTGGTGTCACTGACCTGAAACGCTTCGGTGTGTTGCAAATTGGTGAAAGCAACAATGGGAATTGCAAAAATGATTGAATTTGTTGCAATTCTGGTCGTTTTGGTGTGAATTTGATTGGTGAGAGTGCTAGCTGATATTGCAAGAACGACTCATTCAATTGACTGGTTTGTTTCGGTGATTTCGGCAATATGAAATCGTTTTCAATCGTGATTTCTAACACTTCTTCTTCGCTTTTTTTTTTCTTTTTCCAAACACATTCGTCGTTTTCGCTATCGCTTGTGCTGTTACCACTTTCTTCGCTGTCGCTTGCGCTGTTACCACTGTCTTCGCTCAATTCTCTGTCGATTTCTTCTGCTATCTTTCTCTCCACGTAACGTTCGATCTCTTCGGTATCACTGTCCGGACCGAATAGCTGTTTGTATCGATTTGCTAGTGTCGAAGCAGTCGAAGGACCATGAAATAAATCCACTGAATAAAACGTTGGGTTTTAGTTAAATGTTCA